TGTGTAAAACTAAGCTCAGAAGTTCTAAAGTTCTTGTTCCATCTATTATTATTTTTGAGAAACAAGTCATCGATGCTGTTTGATTTTCACACTTCTTGACTTGTGATTACTCGAACAAAATCATCATAATGTCTGGTGAGTCTGTTATCTATGCTAAAACTGATTTACTGGAAATTGTAGTCATTAGTTGTAGTTTTAAAAATTCATCAGCTACAAAGTTAATACTTGTTGAAAGATTCTTTATTCAAGATAATGTTCTGAAAGTACAGAAAATAATATGTAAGTAAACGCAGTTTTATTTGTACATATTGTTTATGTTATTCTTCAGTTTGAGAGAGTTAATAGAGGGTATAAAGGTTTTTCTTTTTAAAATAAAAAAATTGAGTTTATTTGTGATTGATTTTTCAAGGTGTCTGTTTTCATTCTTGCATACTATTTCCCAGCTGGTGCTATTCCTTCATGGTCTGTGTAATTTGTAGCTGTTTTTGACTGCAAAATTTGACCATATGCAATATGCAAAACAGCGAACGTGATAGATAGACCGAAAGTGTGCACAGTTGTATCTTTATTATTTTTCACACAGTACATCAGATGATGGCCTGATTGATATTCAATCACTATAAATCATTGGCCCTGATGATATATTGCCAGTCGTATCCTCTGACTTTTATGATGAGCAATACCAAGGGACATGTGTTAGTAGCGCATAAACACAGTACATCTAGCTTGCACTTCTTGTCCTTCATACTGTGTCAAAACTGATCTCAGTTTTTTGCCAAAGGCTTTTTATAAATCGTTAAAGAAACTCTGAGGACAAAATAATAAAATATATTGTAATTGAAAATAAAAACGGTTTTCAACAATAACTTGAATTAACGTAGAAGCTTTATGTAGTAAACATTCCCAAAAGTGCTTCACTGGAGGATTGTTGAACAATATTTGACACTGAACACACACATAAGGAGATATTCAGACAAGAGAGTAAAATGTTTCATCAAGTTGGTCAAGCGATTTGAGCATTCAGGTGGAGAGAAAGATTTCAGAGAGGAAAACATTGCAATTTATTAAAGATGACAAACAGTCTTAAAATACTGAGCTCTTCAGACCTGTAGTTCTTACCTCCAGTATCATATACTTGTTTGTAAGGTTTTCTCACCAAACAAAAGCTGTATTTCTGATTCACAAAATTGTTGAGGTCCATCGTGTCTGCATGGGTTCTGTTAGCTAGTGCCAGTCTCCTGCCTTTTCTCCACATTCCTGCACATCATTTCTACTTAAATAATCATCCAATGCCCTCTTGAATGCCTCAAGTGAACTGGCTCCACCAAGGATCGAATCCCCTATTTGTTTAGAAGATGTTTTATGTAATAGTGAAATGATAATTTACTGTCAAAAATAGAAGTGCCACCAATAGCATACACTGTAATGTATTCTCAAATCCTATGCGGACAGGTATGCTGTTAAACATAAGAATTCCAAAGTTGATGTTCAGGTGCACCTCTCTCCTGTTGATTTTGTCAAAGCAGCTCTCCATTGAAATACATTAATTGGATAGACATTATGGTGTGTGCATGATAGATACCAACTAAAGTTATTAAAGAAAATTGGATCTAGGCAAAAGTGATGTCAGAAGCCTGTTTAGAGCTATTTAAACCGAAAGAATTGTGGATGCTGTAAATCAGGAACAAAAACAAAGTTGCTAGAAAAGTCCAGCAGGTCTGGCAACATCTATGAAGGGAAAAACAGAGTTAACATTTCAGGTCCAGTGACCTTTCCTCAGAACAGTTCTGAGGAAGAGTCACCGGACCCGAAACGTTAACTCTGTTTTTTCCTTCACAGATGCTGCCAGACCTGCTGGGCTTTTCCAGCAACTTTGTTTTTCGTAGAGCTATTTAAGTTTGGTACACTATTTTACTAAACTTGTATTACCTGTGATTTTAGACATGCGCTAATAGTTCATTGTTGCTCATCAATCTTTTAATTATTACAAATTTAGAATCACATTCTTTCATACTTAAACTGTAGTTACGTGTTTTAAAAATGAGGCTTATTTTTCTTTTCAATCTCTCTGAATTCAGTCTTCCTTACTCCCTTTTTCTCTTTCTCTGCCTATTCCGATGTTAAGTTTATCCGTTCAAATTCACACTTCCTTCTCAGTCCTTTTATGTCAGTTTCACAATACTTCAGTTTTATTGGTTTTAGAATTACATAGTTTTTGTTTTGTTCACGTGGGCCCCAGGTGCTGAGTTTCCCTTGTGATATTGCCAGCTGTCACATAGATGCAAATCTTTTCCTTTTTAAAAAGAAACCAAAAGAAAGGCAATACTTTGGAATATGTAAATGAATAATTGCAACAATAAAATTACTTTACTGAGAATGGGGTCTGTAGCCCTAAACATTAGTTATGGTTGAATATTTTTCCATTTACCACAAATTCAGTTCATTTTGAAAGATATCTCACTTTCACATTGCACAAATTTGACGTTGCCTTAATGGCACAGATTATAGCCCCACATCTGGAGGAATCTGGGACACTACATATGGAATCTAGATCTGAAGTAATTTCATTAGTATTTCTAAAAACTTGATATTGATTGACAAAGTGTTTGGCTGTGCGAGAACTGGCAGCAATAATGCTGTGCATTCTAGCCTTTCAATTGTCAGGTGTTTGGAGAAAAAAATTCAAACTATAAATATTCATCATTGCAAGTCGGTCATTGGTTGAAGGGGAGCACTTGATGGAATGAATTCATTCACAACTTAACGCATATCAGCCTAATTGCAGTTTTGTTGACAACAAAAGGCTCAATGACAGGTGAAGGCAGAATCTACTTTTGTACTATGTTTCACACAGTAAGTCATGAGGCCTTTGAATTTGAATAATCTTAGCATCTTAACTTTCAAAGTTCAAGAAGATTGACCAGGTTTAATTTTTTTGCCATCGCATCTTCCAACATAAATGGGACAAACTGAGTTTAAAATAATTAAGTAAAAACTTCTCACAGCCTTCATACTTATAGTTTACTGCTGCCAATTTTGAGGCTTGAAGTAAGCATACAGCTCTTACTAAAAATAGGATATAGTCTTTCTTGCTCTTCCAAGTTGGGATTCTAGGATATAGGTGTAATTCCAGTGCTACTTTAATGGGTTAATACAATGCTTCTCAAGCACAGATCTCGTCCGCAGCTCCAAATAGCAAGTGAGCAAAGTGCCCACTGAAGGGCTTACCGGCAGGCTTAAGGAAAAATGCTCAGTATGTTCAACACATTATCATTATTCACACACGTTCTTAAAAATTCCCAAATTTTGACTTGCATGTCCATTTGTTCAAACACATCAGACTGATCCTTGAAGTACATGTTAATGTTATCTGAAAAACAATATTGCACATATTTTAGTGATACCGTGCTATGAGCAAAGCAGTCCTCACAGTTTGTGTTGTGTTATTGCAGTTTTTGTTGCGTTATTGCAGTTGTTTTTGTTGTGTTATTGCAGTTGTTTTTGTTGATGTTAAGCACAAAGGAATAATGAATTATCAGCTGTATTAATGCCAATTTTGGTTGCATATTGTGCAGACTTCATCAAATCAAATTTGAAACTATTTCACTTTTGTATGAGAACAGTAGGAGAGGACACAGCCAGCACTCCGAGTGGGATAAATTCAAAATTAAACTGTAGAAACAATGTTTCAATGGCCGTTCTATGGGAAAGACTAAAATAAAAACAAAGTGCCGAAGAAACTCAGCAGACCAGGCATTACCTTTGGAAAGAGAAACAAAGTTACCCTTGTACGGAGAAGAATCATGTTTGGCTTGAAACATTTACTCTCTTTAATTCTCCACCGATCCTGCCAGACCTGCAGAGTTTCTTCAGCCGATTTCTGTTTTTGTTTTAGGTTTCCAGCATCTACAGTAAATTGCTTTTGCTGTGGGACAGACCTCCTAAGGCACCTCTGAGAAGCAGAACTAATTCACTCAATTCCAATTTAGTAATTTCTAAATTAACATTGTGATACAGAATTTGTGTAGTTTTAACTTATGGCATGTGGTAAGTGTAACATGTTTTGGAGGAAGAAGGTTTCTTTGGACCAAGTGGCTTTTCAAGGGGATTTTCTTCATGTCCTTATGGATGTGCTAGAGACCACTTGATAGAGATCAGTTGATATGACAGTGTTATTACAATACAATAACAGTATTATCACTGCATTTTACTGCTGCCAGGAAAAAGGCAAACTTGCTCGCTGGTATTTTTTCAACTATTAAATCCTTCCATCCCCAAAATTGTAATGTTTCAGTTGGTCCCAATCAAATTTCTAGTCCAACATAATTCGAAGATTCTGATCAAAAATATGCTTAAGAAAGAGCTCAGTTTTACCATACCTCCCTCTGATTTTATAATTCTCTGTCACATTTGCACCATTTACATCAATGGTTAGGGGTTTGGTACACATGCATCAAAGGAGTATTTGGACAGTGGGGGAGAAAGGTAAATGGTATATTTGTTGGTAAGCTCAAATCATGTAAGAGTTATCAACTTCTTGGGAATAACACACAAAAGATAAATTTTTGAACTTTAAGTGCATGATATGTTTTCAAATTCATTAGCAAAAGCATCTCTGTCACCTTTTTAGCAGGAAAGATTTTTGTTTATAATCATCATCTAAAAGCTTCAGCCACCTGCATTAGTACAAGGAAGAATGGTGTCAGTTTATTTTCTGTAAAAGCAGGACTGAAAACTGGATAGTTTAAATCCAAAATTTCACTATCCAGTTCATAGTCTGTGCTTCCCAACACAAGAAATAACAAATGAGTTATGCAGTAAATATTCAAGGATTCTGTGTAGCTGTCATGGATTTTATTAATGCTAATTGTTGAATCCCCTTTCTTTCATGCACTTCAATTCCATGAATATTGCAACAAAGTCTAAATTGATTTAATTACAAAACTGTTTGTAAAATTGTTTATTTGTAATATTGTATTATGTCTATTTCATTCTTGCAGTCGTTGGGTCAGACTTTTGTTTGGACGAGAATTTCCACTTCAGGATCTCTTGGTGATGTGGGATACTTTGTTTGCTGACAGTGTTACCCTGGATTTAGTTGACTATGTTTTTGTTGCAATGCTGTTATACATAAGAGATGTTTGTAAGTATATGCATACAAAAATTACATTGTTATATCTTAGCTTCAAAGATTTTTTAAAAGTCCTCTTCGTATGTTGAGGAAAAAAAGCACAAAGGCACCTTTTAAAAAAAAAAGTAATATGTAATAAATTTGAAATTATATTGCATTATATCAAAACGTTATTTGTCTAGTTTTGAGTTTTTGACCACTACTGAAAAAAATAATTGGGATGACATTAGTTACCCTTTAAATGAGGTGTTCCACACCAGTGTGCAGTTACACAATTTATAAATGAAGACTGTAATGATTATTAATATACTAATAATCTTGTTTTCCCAAAGGTGTGAACATTAACAATTTGCCTTGTAGTCAATGAGCATCTTTCATATATTTTATTTAGAAGTCTCTACTTCTGGGATTAGACAACAAATATCTAGAACAGCTTCCTTTTTGGTTATGAACTGTTAGAATTTTTAAAATATCAGGTACCTTTGAGGCTGCAAATAAGGCAAGGTGTTTCAAGTGGCAATCTATAAGGCCTTTCAATGAGTCAGAGTGGTTAAAAATACTGGAGATTGTTTTGTTGAAGTCAAGTTGTTTGATCCACTAATGTTGAGAAACCTGCTGTATTTTATATTATAATACAAAGATAAGTTAGGCTGATTGAGTTAGGAGTTCATACCCAAAAGATATTCTATATGTTCACATCACTGTCAAATAAAGCATCTTGCTGATTTATATGATGCCTGATCTTAAGCATTGTCTTATTGGTTCATCTTTGGAAAGGTTTGAGTGGCACAAGCAAAAGACATGAATACCTAGGTCAGATCACACAGGGATAATATTATTATGCTGAAGTTAAAACACATTTAAACGTAAGAACTTTAAAACCCATATAAGGCAGCAGCCAATGCCATTCCACTGGATCCGTAAAGGTTGATATAGTATACTCAAATCTGTAAGAATAGTAAGAATATTAGGTAGAGTAAAACGCACTTTCGTACGTGGAAGTCTGCCACCTTGTGACACCAGGTTATAGTCCAATAGGTTTATTTGAAAACACGAGCTTTCAGAGCCTCAGTCCTCCTTCAGGTGTTAGAAACATAATTCCAGCTAGAGTAAAATAATTCTGGCCCCTGTAATAGCCATTATAAACATAGCAAAGCTTTGCACACATTCTTGGAGCATGAGATGAAAAGCAGACCTTAAGATTGATATCTTACTGCTTTAATTATATTACTTGAGGCAATTTTTTTTTGTATTTACAAAGAGTCCAGATGTTTAGTAAATTAAGTATCAGACCATTCTCCTGACCGATTCAATTGCTGTTTTATTAATGTTGCTTTAAAATGTCAAGATCGTAAGTAAACTATAATCATTTAAGTTTAGTAAAGATGCAGTGCTATGTGGTTTGCTGTTCAGATAATACTAACTTGCATTATTAATGTACCATGTGTTTTTGGCTTTAATGACTTTCACAAAAAGTACAGTAAATGGTCACAAGAGAGCAAAAGTAGTATGGAAGAGTGAGCATGATAAGCGAGTGCTTCACAAATGAAACCAGATGTATGAAATTACAAGCTGTCGGATCAAAAAGGAAATGAAGATGATGAAGTAGTTTTCACTATAAAATATAATTTTTTGTTTCAATCACTTTCAAGATTTTTGCTCATAATCGTTAAATGTCCAGACATACCTTGACTGCTAGCGTACCACTACTGTTAGTTAAGAGGTTAGAATACGTAAAATTAGAATACATATTATTTATTTTTCTATTTTTAAATAGATTTAATATAGTACATATTCCATTACTGAAACTTTGTCAGACACTTCACAGTATGCCTAAATAAATATGTTGAAGAATCCTGAGATTATTGCAAAAAGTATATGATCCATTGGGTTAGTGTTTTGTTTTGTATTACATTGATTTATCTCTTACTGTTAAAGGTAGCATTATCTTTAAGTATCTCAGTTTTGCAAACGTTTCTTGATGAACACATTATTCTGTCATTGAAGTGACATTTGTGTGATGAAAATTATGCAGTATGTCTTGCTGATTCCCTGACCAAACAAAACTGATGGACAAATGCTTTCTGGAATAATATTTTTCTTTGTTCCTAAATTTTCCCATCAGCTGCAGTTGTTAAAGATCTGTATATGTGTGTGTGTGTACATATTTATTTAAATAAAACTGTAATGTTGTTTTGTTTTTTTTTATCATCCTTAGTAATTGCGAGTAATTATCAAACCTGCCTTGGTTTGCTTCTCCATTATCCATCTGTAGATGATGTACATTCCTTAATTCAGAAAGCACTCTTCTTACGGGATCCAAAGGTAATACACTATTCTTTGAGGTATGTTCTTACATTAAAAATAATATGTTTAGAATTGCATTGCTTATTGATACTTCCTGAAATTCAGATGTATCGAGCACTCATTTTAAATGATAAATTATGTAACATTAAGTTGTCTATCACTTATGAAATAAGTTGAAGTTAATTAAGATGCAAAATTCCTGATTCCAAAAGTTTCATACGTGAGAATTGCAACTATTTTTAAGATTGAAAATTTCAGGACAATGCAACAGATTGTAGAATGATGAGCTTAAATACTTCAAAATAATAAGCAAGTTAGTGTTGAGATTCAGCATTTAAAGAACACTAAATTAAACAAAGAAATATCCATACTGGAACATATGTAATTATATTTATAGTGCATTCTATGAAGATGGTTCAATACATGGAAAAATAAGAACAGTGTTGTGTTTTCTCCAATATGATTTGGTGGTTCAACAATGGTCATTTGCTACCTGTATAAATGATAGAAAATGTTATGAATTATTATACATTTGAGGGCACATCTGTAACCAGAGGGGTAGTAATTCATCAATTATAGCCTCTGAACTGCAGTCAATATTTGTTTTATTATACCCATGAGCTAAATTTATTTTTCAAATGGGAAATGTTTTCACCCATTTTGAATGGTTAATAGCCTGTGCTTTGTGGTCTGTTCACTGAAGATTATTACCTACTGCCATCAGTTATTTTGCCAGGAGTGAAAACATTTTAGTTTGTATATTTTTTAGCAAATCATGTATTTCAGACCAAAATGCTAATAAATGTATAAGGTAACCAATGTAGTTATTACTAAAAAAACAAGAGAGAGACCATAAGTAAATGCAAATAATTACCTTTTAGGAAATACCCATAAATGTTTGTCTACTTTTTGGTGGCCCTTATTTGTTTGGCATTTTTATGACAGCCAGTTGTCAACCTTGGCTCAGTGGTAGTAATGTTGCCTCTTACTCAGAAAATCATGTGCTTCAAATAGGGACCTTAAAGTGCTTAATTGTAGGCTGGCATTTCAGTGTGGTAATGAACTGCTTTGTCAGAAATTAAGCCTAGATCCTATTTGCCCTTTCACATCTTGTGAAGTAGTATTGTGGCAATATTGAAACAAAAGCAGAGTAACTCCTGGTAAGTTAATGAACTCAAAATGTTATCTAATCATTTAGCTTATTGCTAGTCCTGTTACTAATTAGTGATGTTATATTATAGTAGTGATTATATTTCATTATGATGTAATTAACTGATTGTAAAACACTTTTAGATGTCCTAAGTTCATGAAAGATACTGTTCACTTTCCTTATCATCCAAGTGTTACTGGCAAAAGATTTTCTTCAAGTTAACAAAAATGATGATGAAACATAATGTATAAAAGTGATGCCAGACATTGCAAATTCCCAATGTTGTTTTTTGTGTCAAAGAGAAGTCCAAAGTAGAGATTAAGAGAATATTTCCATAAGGAGTAAAATATGAGTAAACGATTCAGCCTGATACTTTTTGGTAGTCAGATTTAATGGTAGCAGATGCGCAACAGTGGCATTTTCTGACAGTGTGACAGATACCAGGGGCATTATCAAGGCGTGTATAGAAATAGCACAGGTATTGAGCAATTACTTTTTGTCTGCCTTTACAAAAGAAAAGAAAATTTACATATCAGAAATCCAGCGTAACCAAATGGCTAATAAGAGCGAGGAGATTAAAGTAATTTATATCAGTTGAGAAAAAGTATTGGCGAAATTTAAGGGACTAAGGATTAAGGGATAGGAGGTTTATAGAGACTGGTATACATTGATGTCCAAAAACCTGAGCATTGGTCACTGGAAATAAAGCACTTGAAATACCTAAATGATAAACTCATAGAAGTAAATTCAGGAAAGATACATCTTCAACTAATACCTTATGTACTTCAAGTATTAGAAATCTCCATGAAGTATCATGAAAAATGACTTGAACAGAAAACTGAATTGCTGATGAATCCATACAATTAGTTGAATGTGGAATTAAAATCTCAACTTGATGAACTTTTGGGATTTCATCTTGAAAAGAACATTGCAAGTTTTGAACTCCACTGCAATCTGAAGAACAAACTGATGAGACGTGCAGCATGAAGGAGCAAATCCAGACTTTAAAAATAGATACGGAATATCTTAAATTTTAATCTTAAAATGGAGTTGATGAATAACTTGAAAGAGTCTAAAGAGCAATCAGAAACCAGGGAGAAAAATGTCAAAACAAACAGAATACACATGTGAAATGGTCAGATGATTTGCTTACTCTGGACTTTGTTTTCCTCACAATTCACGAACCGTATCTTTCCAACTCTACTGGGATTTTTCATTATCCTTCTGTGTTGATTAAGAAACACTTCCAATGGGTCCTTTGAGTTTGTGACAGAAAGCATGGATGTATGATTGACAACCAGCTTCAAAATCATCTTCCTTAATCACTTTCTACATAACTGATTTTGTTGTTTCATTTTGATTCATACCAGATGAATAAACCTGCACTAGGGGAGTTTTGCATTTCTCAGCTCAAGCCATTTTCTCTTTTATCTGAACAATGTGTTGTAGCCTTCTGCACTAATTCATTTTCTTACCACTGACACTTTATAAGTGGAGACTTCAATTCCACTTCTTTCACAATTTCCTTCAAACATTTGTTTAATCCCTTACTGTCCAATTCTGTCTGAGGTTCGTTGATGTTTTCACTCAGCTTAATAACTACGCCAATCAGTTAAGTTGCCTCTATTTCCAGAGTTATCTATCTTACCTTTACACAAGTTCAGAAGTGAAGTATTCTGAACTCAAATTGGACTTGAAATGTTAACTTTGTTTCTGTCCCTATAAAGGCTGCCAGACTTGCTGAATTTCTTCAGAACTTTGTTTTTATTTCAGATTTCTATCATCCGCAGTATTTTTCATGGATTGAGAATTGGCTTATGGGCAAGAAACAGCAAGTGGGAATAAGGGATTCCCTCTCGAGTTGGCTGCCCGTGACCAGTGAACACAGAATCAGTGCTGGGACTGCAACTGTTTACAAAATATAGTAATGACTTGGAGAAAGGAAGCGAATGTAGTGTAGCCAAATTTGCAGACGACACAAGATAAGTGGAAAGGCAGGTTGCAAGAGGGATACAAACAGTTTACAAAGAGTGATAGCTTAGGTAAGTGGGCAAAATATTGGCAGATGGAGTATAATGTGGGAAAATGCGAAGTTGCTCATTTTGGAAAGGAGAACAAAAGAAGAGAATATTATTTAAAAACTGCAGAAAGCTGCAATGCATAGGGACATGTATATGACACCAAAGCTAAAAAGTGGCGCACAGACCAAGCTAGAGGCCCAAACCGACCATGCAGGCTCCCACTGCCTGTGACAAGGCCTAAACAACATTATGGGATACAAAATTAAGCACAGCAACATAGTGGACAATGGCACAACCCTCCCTGATGCGCTCAATGCTTTCTATGCTCGGTTTGAGCAGAATGCCAGTGGCGCGGTGACACCTGTGCCCACTGTCACCACTGCAGACATCAGAGCGGTTTTCCTGGGAGTCAACCCAAGGAAAGTGACGGGCCCAGACAGAGTCCCCGGCTGAGCATTAGATTCTGTGTTGACCAACAGGTGGAGGTATTCACCGACATCTTCAATCTCTCCCTCCTACAAGCTGTAGTCCCGGACCTGCTTGAAGAAGATCACCATCATTCCAGTACCTAAGAAAGCACACGCAACGTGCCTTAATGACTACCACCCAGTGGCTGTGACCTCCATAATCATGAAGTGCTTTGAGAGGCTGGTCGTGGCCCACATCAACTCTAGTCTCCCAGCCCGCCTTGATCCTCTACAATTGGCCTACTGATGTAACAGGTCCACAGTGGATGCCATTTCCCTCGCCCCACACTCATCCCTGGAACATCTGGACAGCAAGGACACCTACATCAGACTCCTGCTGATCGACTACAGCTCCGCCTTCAACACCATTATTCCCTCCAGACTGGTTTCAAAACTCCGAAACCTAGGTCTCAGCTCACCTACCTCTGAAAGTGGATCCTCCACTTCCTGATCCACAGACCGCAATCAGCAAAGATAAGTAACTGCACCACCTCCACAATAACCCTCAACACTAGAGCCCCCAAGGATGCGTTCTCAGCCCCCCTACTGTACTCCCCTTACACCCATGACTTAGTTGCCAAATTCAGAATGAACACCATCTACAAGTTTGCTGGTGGCAGTGCTGTGGTAGGACAGATATCAAACAATGTTGAGGCAGAATACAGAAAGGAGATAGAGGGCTTGGTGGCATGGTGCAATAATAACAACCACTCTCTCAATGTTGGCAAAACTAAAGAACTGATCATTGACTTTAGAAAGAAAGGAGGAGATGGAGCTGAGATCGAAAGGGTTGACAGCATCAAGTCTAGGAGCGACGATAACCAACAAAATGTCCTGGACTTCCCACGTATATGTGATGGTCAAGAAAGCACAACAACACCTCTTCATCCTCAGCCGGCTCAGGAAATTTGGCATGTCAATAAAATCCCTCACCAACTTCTACAGATGCACCATTGAAAGCATACTGTCCGGCTGCATAACGGCCTGGTACGGCAACTGCTCTGCTCAGGACCAGAAAAAACTCCAGAAGGTGGTGTGCGTAACCCAAACCATCATGGAAGCCAACCTTCCATTCGTGGACTCTATTTACACAGTTCACTGCTGCGGAAAGGCTGCCAACATCATCAACGACACATTGCACCCTGGTAATGCTCTCTTACAACCTCTTCCGTCAGGGAGAAGATACAGAAGCTTGAACACACACACCAGCAGGTTCAAGAACAGCTTCTTCCTGGTCATTATTAGACGGATGAATGGACTCTGTAACTTCAAATAATGCTGCACTTGCTAATGTTGACCTTGCCTCGTGCATGCCCTGTGCAATGTAACCTGTATGCCTCTGTCCAAGTTTCTTTTCATCCAAAAGTCTGTATGTCCTTG